TTATAGGTACCAAGATTATCTTTTTATCTCTCATACCAACCTAGTATGTACACCGGACAGTTTTATCGTTTCAAAAATGTAATTATAGGTACCAAGATTATCTTTTTATCTCTCATACCAACCTAGTATATACACCGGACAGTTTCCTCGGTTTCAAAAATGTAATTATATGTACCAAGATTATCTTTTTATCTCTCATACCAACCTAGTATATACACCGGATAGTTTCCTCGGTTTCAAAAATGTAATTATATTTACCAAAATTATCTTTTTATCTCTCATACCAACCTAGTATATACACCGGACAGTTTCCTCGGTTTCAAAAATGTAATTACAGGTACCAAGATTATCTTTTTATCTCTCATACCAACCTAATATGTACACCGGACAGTTTCCTCGGTTTCAAAAATGTAATTATAGGTACCAAGATTTTCTTTCTATCTCAATTTGTTCTCGAGTTTTGGCCGTTTTTTTCTAAATCACATTTGCTGCCAATATTAAAAAGTGTTTAAGCTTCAGTCGACCTTGACCTTTGAACTACATCCACCAAAAGTTAATCAATTGATTCGTATCGAACTTGATAAAAATCAGACGAAATTTTTGAGTTACGTGACTTATCTTCCACATGACCTTGACTTTTAACTTATTTTCACTAAAGGTTAATAAGTTAGTAAATGGGGTACACTTACCCCTTGTACTAAATATGATCAACATTAGATGAAACTCTTGAGTTATACCGTTCACACAGGAGTATCAAACAATTTACACTATAACTCATCTTAGTTACAGTGTAAGAACGTGCATTTTTAACTGTTACAGTAAATAAAACTTAAACAAAAAATCTATATCCTAATCTTGCTTTAAACCCCTTAAATCATAGTGAAAGAACGCGACTTTTGATATATTCTATATCAATAAACGTCAACATGTGTGTGTGTGTGTGTGTGTGTGTGTATCTGTTCCTTATACCTTTCCACATTTCTTGATCAATTAGCACCAAACTTGACACAGTTATACAGGATGACACGGGGAAGGTCATGAGGGAATTTGGTGGCCCCCAAGATAATTTAAATGGTGGAGTGAACCCCCATTTCATTTCATATCTAATTTCGGGAAACTACCAAGTCAGCACAGCTTGGCACAATGATACAGGATGACATGAGGGGGTTTGGACCCACATCTAATTTCATATTGACAGAATTCTTGAAAACAGTGTGTCTTTCTTTTCAGTACTGGGACCCTTATGTATTTTTGTTGCACGTTTAATGTTTATTATGTTAAGATAAAAATAGAAGCACAATTTCTTATCCTTCGTTACAAACGAGTTTTTACTTCACCCATCTAACGGACGGATACTCCAACTAGTAATCAATAAAAGTAAAGTAATTTACTTTCTTAGCTTACTTTAAACCCATCATACGTCCAGGATCCGAATTTCATCACGCAGGTTTGTTTGTCGAATGGAAAGTACTCCACGTCTATGATACACGAGCTTTTGTAGATGGCCGGGGGTTTCCATTCTATGAGCCCTCTGTAGTTTACCTGGGCCTTCGTGGTTAAAGTCACTTCAAAGTTTCCATCAGCACTGAAAATTGAGCAAGGATACAAACTTCTATGTTGTAAAATGTCTTCGGTGAGTTTTTTTTTGTCATAATCTTAGACTTTAGTGTTACTACACGAAATAAATCTCAACTTTTTCATTTGAGCAAGGATACAAACTTCTATGTTGTAAAATGTCTTCGGTGAGTTTTTTGTCATAATCTTAGACTTTAGTGTTACTACACGAAATAAATCTCAACTTTTTCATTTGAGCAAGGAAACAAACTTCTATGCTGTAAAATGTTCTCGGTGAGTTTTTGTGTCATAATCTTAGACTTTAGTGTTACTACACGAAATAAATCTCAACTTTTTCATTTGTTTTAAACATAATAGATATCGATTGATTAAGTAGTAAAAACAAGTCTAGAAGTAATTTTGGAGAAGAAAATGAACATTGTCTCAAATATTAAAATGTCTTTATTATTTCGTAGCATAATCTTAGATAGGGGATTAATCTGTTTGTTTAAAAGTTAACCACAAAGCTACACGGTGGGCTATCTGTGCTCTGCCCACCATGGTTATCGAAACCCGGTTTCTAGCGTTGTAAGTCCGCAGCCATGCCGTTGTGCCACTGGGGGGCGCAGGGGATTAATAAACATAAACCAAATTAATTGCTTTGATTTATAACTTGCATCGTATTATTATTGAATATTACGTAAGATTTTTCTTAAGAGACGATTTAATTATTGTTTTACGCTTGCTTAACCTTGATAATTTCATAGTTGTTTCAAAGTATTCAGCACGCTTCATTCTTAATAGGTCCATATTACTATGAAAATTCAGGGGCAGTAACGCCATCTACAGGTAAGGACAAAATTTTCCGAGTTCTTATTTTAAGTAACTTTTCGAATTTGAACAAGTTTTGTTTGAAGAACACGATTTGCATACCCATTCGAGCTTGACGTATTCTGAAACAATACCATTCTGCGACCGAACGTTATCAGGTTATATTAATGTCTAACGAGAAATAGAAAAGAAAAGTGACACCATACAATTAGATTACAAACATCTTGGGTCGACGGATGTAATTTACATTATTAAGGAGGTTCAATAATTTATTTCCACGTGCTCGTTACTCTAGCAACTGGACTCTAGAGACCTCTAGTGCTTCTAATTGAAAAGTAGTGTTTGATTGAAACGCTTGTTCTGTCCGCTAGGTGAGATGCGGACTGACGTGCAGCTATAAGTTATTTTATTAAAGATATAGTGAGAAGTAACATTACACAAAGAGAAAAAAAATACAATGCAGGAGTATTGAAAGCATGACTCTTGTGATTTGTTTTTAGAACTTTCTTGCTCTCCGGCTCACGAGAGAATGAGAGGAAATATCATATAATTGTGACACATTATGTTATATCAATCTAAATACAGATGTCTTTATGTAATTAAAAATTTAGAGCTGATTTCTCGTTCAGTGTCGATATTTAGAGAATATTGTACCTTAAAGTAGGCTATCTCGCTGCTTTTGCTTTATATTCTCAGATAAAAACTTAATATACTCGCTAGGTTTTGTTTTGTCTTTTCCTCAGTTTTTACAGTGACTGTGAAACATATTTCTTTCTTTCAAAACGTTGAAACAAAATAAGCTGCTAAAATTGTAAAAGAAAGAAAAAAAAATCCAAATAAAAGAGTTTCCGACTCATTTTTTTAAAACCCTTCGCAATATTAAGTTTTTCATTACGAACTTCTGAGCGTCTCATTTGGGCAACCTACCTTTTACATTTAAACACATTACAGGAAGCTTTATATGACTGGATTCAATTTTCCAATATATCAGTATTAGGAATACTGTACCAAGGCCATTAGTGACGATTGTTTTGTTTTTTTTGTTTTTTTTACATGAATTATATGGAAGTGGTTAAACTTGAGAAAGATGTCCGTTTTTTTAATATCCACAGTATTTACTTCATACGCCGGACTCCATACTTAGAACGATGTCCAAACTTATGTTTGTCATTATTCAATTCAAAACGTACGATAGTCTGTGGGCAAAATCAAACTTGATTTAGTGCAAGCACACATAAAAAGGTAGGTAATCACAGAAGTTGAGCACATTTCTTGTAGCACGACTATTTGACCTTGATCAAGATCATAGGATCAGATGAAATCAAGTACCTCAGAGAACTTCTAATGAACGAGATTTGTTCTCTATAATTCAAGTGCTCACGGCAGTCTACTGAAAACAAACACAAAAGTTTCCAATTAAATACATTTGTGAAACTAATTATGTACATATTTCTTTATTTTTCTATACTAGATGTATTTCCACAGGGTCACCGAAAGTGTTTTGTTTAAAGAGTAAATAAATCGAAAATTATGAGTAACATATATTTTTATTTATTCCTTTTGAAGTTCGTGTGTCATGTTGTGTTGTAGCCTAGAGAGTGCATAATTCTTCTCGTGATTCATGGCATGCTCACGTTTTACTGACGTCACAAAAGTACAAATTGCAACGTTAAGCACTCCTTACTTGACGTCATTTTAGCGTCTACTGACTGACTGACAGACAATACACTACTATATAGTGGTGCGAGTGGTTAAAATACTTGATCCCCCCCCAGGCAGCCTTTGGCCCCCTTTCGAAGAAAGTAAGGTAGCTCTTTATATTAAGAACACAAATAGATGTATAAGAGGGGTTTTATGTTCCATGTTTTGTCATTATTGTTATTAATCATTCAAATCACAAGCTTCATGTCGAAATTTCAGAAATCGCTTGAGTTGAAAATAATAAACATGTTGTTTTTTCTAGTATACATCCACTTTATGAGCCTGAATTAATATCCGAACACAAAATACGTCCATTTTAAAGGATTTCTTATGTACTTTAGTAAGAATGTGCAAGTTTAATTAGATAACTTTATCTGAAGCAGCCTATCATGGCTTTCAGTTATACAAACTCGTATTTCATGAAAATTTTTTCTGTGTAAGATAATAATCAAAAGAGGGATGATGGTGATATAATGTGAATTCCAGCTGGTGCCCCCTCCCCCTGTGGCTCAGCGGTAAATCTGATGGCTCATATCGCTAAAAACTAGGTTTCGATACTTGTGGTGAACACGGCACAGATAGTCCATTATGTAGTTTTGTGCTTAACAAAAACAAACAAACAAAACATCCCGCCTCTCCAAAATGGCGAACAATGAACCTGCTGAATTTGAAAGCAGTTAATTTCATTTACATTCTGAAAATTCTTACGTGAGAACCAGAAAAGAAGTGGATATTGCATCGTAGTGTTCCATGGTCGGCCAGCGGTACTATGCTAAAATCCGGGGTTTGATACTTTGCGGTTAACAGAGCGCAGATAGTCCATTGTGTAGTTTTGTAATAAAACAACAACAACAAAAATCCATCTCAGTTTAATGGAGTAGGAAGTAGTGGCAGGGGTTTGGCTCCAATAATTTTGAGTGGGGCCAACATGTCTTTTGGTTCCTCGGTATTTCAAAATTGAGATTAAAGGTGGCATGCCGCAATTAGAAGATAAACCATTTATACTTAAATAAATCGTATGATAATATAACAGGATGTTGACTTTTTATTGCTTTTTCGACTGCCATAACTGCCACATTTTCAGCCTGTTACACCCTGATATCTTCCTACCTTACTGCAGTCAAAGGTAAGCCTAAAACCGGTTGAGTAATGTAAGCAGTTTATGCTGATTGAAGTGTTTTGAACTTCGCGCAACACTACACGAGGGCTATTTTCGCTAGCCATCCCTAATTTAACAGTGTGAAAGACTAGAGGGAAGGCAGCTAGTCATCAACACCCACCGCCAACTCTTGGGCTACTCTTTTTACCAACGAATAGTTGAAAGAAAGAAAGGAACGTGCCACATGTGCCACGTTTGTCGTCTTTGTGATCCATTACCCTCACGCACTGTACCTACGATGCCTATTTATCTACAATAGAAAGCGTAAAAGTAGTCAGTTTTCAAATCAGTAATAAAAAAAAAGTGGCGTTGACATATCAGGGCCGAGTTTTTCGCCACGTCGGGTCTTAAAATATTGTGCACATAATTTTAATCAAATTATTCTAGGCATGAATATTATATCTTGTAATACTCATAGAATTTTCATTATGGAAAATGGCTCAGCGGTAAGTCTGCGGGGTTACGACGCTAAAAATCAGGTTTCAATACCCGTTGTTGGCATTGTTAAGGGAATTTATGGTGTTGATGTGTCATATTTTCTCGTACTTGATGGTGTGAATGTTAGAACTAGGGTGCACAAAAATAAATATTCTGGCAGGGTAGAAGCATCTTGAACTAAGACAGTTTTATTTTTCTAACAGGGTGGTTGGCCTTTGGAATGGATGTTATGGGTGTGATTAAGTTAATAGAGTTTAAGGGAAAAATTGATAAATATTTGAATGATAAGCGCTGCCTTTGAATGTTTTATTTTCATTTTAAAGTTTAGTTTAATGTATGAGATGGCCTAGATGGACCAATAGGTTACTTGTCCTTGAATTATGTGCATGTAATATGTAATATATTTAAACTGCCATAATGTAAGGTGTTATACTGTTACGTCTGATTGTTTATTTTTAATTATTCACAAAACTACACAATGGGCTATATGTGCTGTACCCACCACGGGTATTGAAACCCGGTTTTTAGCGTTGTAAGTCGACAGACATACCGCTGAGCCACTGTTACGTCTACATTACTTTTGAGCTACCGAGTTCCTGTGGAAAACAAGCCTCTTTATTTCTTCTCCTATTATCCTATTATTGAAATCTTGTCTTTAAAATAATGACGTAAGATGTTTGTCACTAAACAGTCTAACCGATAATGCTAATGAAAGCAACAATAAAAAGTTATATAGCATACGTTACCTTAAGTGTTCCTGAGTAAAATCATTTTTCACAGAGTTAAAATTAGTGCATGTTATTAGTTATTGTGTCGTATGAAAGTAATTAAAACTCTCATTAAGAAAACGGGAATGAATACAGTTCAATAAGTTTTATAACATTAATTGCAGGGACAAATATAATGATAAACTTACTTATTATACAAAACAATGTCAGGTCTCCAAATGTGGTCAGAAGGCACGTGCAGCATGTCTACTCCTCCGTATTCTCTTGGATCCCATCTAAGCTTGTAGTCTTCCCAGTACTGAAACAAAGCCACAACACTGATTTCGCAAGATAAAATAGAACTTAGTAATAGATCACTTCAGTGTTGGAAATCATAACAACAATATTAGGTTATACTTTTGTTGCTAAGCAACAGACATAAAAGCCATTGTTGGAATATAGTGTTACCAAAACGCACTGGCTTTTCGATGTATTAGAAGTTATTAATCTAACTGATTTTTACCAGTAATTATTCAATAAATACGCTACGAATTCATCTCATGAATGATCTTAATTTTGATTGGCTCACAAAGGAATTTACCGACGTTTTAACTGCACTTTTCTGCCTCTTTGTTGGTGAAGCCTGATTTTGCAAAATTTATGTATTTCAGTTAGCTATGAAATGTGATATTAAGGTATTCTATGGGGTGGGGGTGGTAATAATTGCCCCGTCATTTTTGACGGGCTATACCCTAGTGATAAAATAGCGCTTAGTACCTGATCATTTCAGTGTTGGAAACCATGGTAACCTATAAAACATTGACTTCACATGATAAAATATCGTTTAGTACTTGGTAACCTACAAAATATTTGTTACGACAGCAGAAGTCACGTGATCTAGTAACACGTCATGAACTT